TCCTTATGGATTACACAGATTAATAAATAAATAGATGAATAAATAAATAAATGTAATCATGACCGCATTTCTTGTGCGTGTATCAAACGTTACGGTGTTACGGTTTAGAGAGCGTGAGAAACGCATAATTTGCAGACGTTTGGAACCTTGCTGCCTCACATTACTCCTGATTACATGTCGAAGGGGCAGGCATGCATCTTCTTCACAAGAAGCATCTCTGTCAATAATGCGGCAAATATAGAAGTTAACCTCATCCGCTTATTTTTTGTTTTTGTTGAGTCGCTCTACATGAGCTCGTGACATTATCTGCTCGAGTGGGCACCAGCAACTTGCGCAGTCGTCCCCATCATGGACAGTAAGATTCAGTGATCATTCTCGATTAAGGAACGGGACATACGAAACCGTCCAGTGAGGTATGCGTTACACCAGTGCTTTGTCGCATGGCCCTTGGCGTCAGTGACCGCTTGAATCGGCATGACATGAACCCGATGAGCTTGTTGATCTCCTCTTGAGCGGGATGTTCTCCCATCAACTGAGAAACTCGTTGTGCTCATTGCGAGTCCAGAGGTATTTAGCTCAATGCCCGAGTCTATCCCACAAATAGGATTTAAATTTGGGGATTGCGCGCAACGATTTGTGCTTCGCGTCATTGTTCTGCTGGAAAATTAAGCCACCGGGACCAGCACTGCGTTCAAACGCCAGATAACATTGATCCATAATGTTGGATCACATCTTGAAATCCACCTTACCCTCAGTACGGTAGAGGGGACCAACTCCTCTGCCACAGAAGCTGCCATGAACCATTCACACAAACTTGATTACATCCTTTCCGAACCCAGAAAACATCGATTTGTCTATTCAGATTACCTCACACAACTGGTGAACCGCCCGGTTCCTGTGAGCATGAGCCCATTCGAGAAGATTCGTGAATTCAGCAGGAACTAGGGGCTCCTTTACTGGGCGACATCCGAACAGACCGACCTCTCTCGAGAGACGTCGAACGGTGTTTGCTGACATGTTGGTCCTTCCGACGTTGAGATTTCGCGAGAAACGAGGAATAGAATTCCGGCGCGGGTCATTCCTTGTACGCTGCACAATGTTTCTGTCGACAAGACAAAGCATCATTCTTACTCCTGTATGACTTTTGACTTCGGCCGACCTTGGGACCATGTGTTTCTACCAAATCGCTCATACGCACCTGACTGACACCCCTTGAATTTCGGAGACTTGCCTAGATGTTGAGGCTCCGTGGAAGTTCCTAATTGCAGCGTCAACTTGGTCTTGTCGCGAAAGATTCCCAAGTGCCTTGACATAAGCTTATCAATGTACTGAGTGCATGACGTGACACGAATAGCTAGAAACTCTCACCTACTGTTCTGTTCTACTCCAATCGTTTACCTACTGTTCAAGTTTCTCACGGAAAGCTTGAAATTTGTGTTCAAAAAAGTGAAAACGCATACTTCACTGAACGATATCATTGCCTCCGTCCAAAGCTTTCGTAGAAAGGCCTGATCATTGCACTGGTGTTCGTTCCGAGTGGTTCAGCTAGAAACAGTCATGGTCCAATGGCCATCACAAAATGACGTGTCTATTGTCCACGTCACTCGCGCTGACTGCATGCTCCTTCCTAGTCCAAGTCTGGAGCAAAGTGTCAAAACAAGAAAGACCGCAGAGACGAAAATTTAAGCGTGGAGCCGATGATTTGCCTTCTTCATTACTTTCTCAACGTTCTTCAGGGCCCATTTGTTTTTGCTCAACTTCGGAACTGAGCCGTTTATCATGTTGACTCTCGGCATCGATACACGTTGCTAGAATATTCAGAAGTGCCGGTTCCGTCTAGTGTGAAAGGAGCAGTGGCACCAATCCGCTGCTCATGATCCTATGTCATTTGCGAATTCGGAGAGTCTGAGGAAATTTCATCAAAACGATCCTCGACGCAGCATCGTTTACATAATAACTTTTCTATAGCCTAGTTAAAATCGAATGAATTTCATTCGATAAGGTTTGTAATACCGCTTTTCAAAGTAAGTAGTGATTTTGAAAAAAATTCTTATATGCGCCAATACCTTGCATCCATCTCGAAACAGAAAAACACAAGAATCATACACATCTTCGTTTTAAAATGTAGTAGAAAATATTCGTTTGACCCGTACACTATGTGAAGGCAATCAGTGCTCTAACAATTACGTATGACTTTGACGTTAGAAGCACCTACCGTCCGGTTCCATTCCTACATTCAAACACCGTTGAAATCGACAATATCTGCATGCATTGCGTTGGTCTGAAAGTCAACTGTTGCAAGTAAAATACAGTATAATGCGTTAGGACAGTACGACAAGACAAAGGCCAACACAGTCGACAACAAGTAAATTTGGGAACGTGAATGATCACGATACCTTTATCAATGCTGCATTTCTGCTGAAAACGACACGAATAATTCTGTCCACTACGTATTGTACGGCGAAAAAACCCTTTGCAGCCTGAAATAATGTGGGTGAATAAGAATAAAGCCTGTCATTATTACTGTACTTATTGTAACCAGTCGAACCGTCCAGCTCTCCTCAATCTAAGGACAAAAAAATTGGATGCTTCCCCAGTCCGCCATTCATTTCTGAAACGAACGACACACTTTTACACACGAATTTTTCGAGTCAAAACAGCGTAAAACAACTAGTACTCAGAAAGTACCGATGCCTATGCTTATCATTAAATGGCTCGATCTGTTTCTCTGGGTGTGAACATCATCCAGCCAAGACACGACTACTAGTCTAGTACATATTACAGTGGCTCTAAAGTCTTGAGCCAAATGCTTCCTTACTGTTCTTGTACTTTTCCGTCTTAACCCCTTTCCTACTTGATGTAACCAGCGAAATTTCAACATGTGTCGCATGGGTGTATTGTGAATATTTTTCACTATGAACCTGCAATCTGACCATCTTCCGACATCCCCAAGGGCTTCAACTCAAAATCAACTGGAAATACTTCGTAAATTTCTCTCTTCTCTGCCATGTTTAAAGTGTACGAGTGCTAATGTCAAACTTAATAGATAAGAAAAACCACATAAGGTGCGGATAGCTGCGGACTCATCAACTTTGCTTTTAGCTAAATCAACAAACTCTAGCTTTCCTGCTCTAATTATGTGAATATTGCTGCTTCGCAGTCAAGTAGTGCCGAATAGTGTGAAATATGCTTAAATCGAAAGCATCAAAATTTCGACTATTTGCTCCACTAATAAAAAAGTTATGAACAAAAAAGCGTAAGAG